GTTTTTCAAATGCAAAAGTCTTCAGAGGCTTGCTGGCACAACAGCTCATAAAACTGGCTTCAGAGAGATATTAAGCAGTAACCCCATCTCCTAAATAATTTCTCTTCCATTGGACATCTCTAAGCAGATTTAGATGCTTCAGGGGATTCTGTGGAGGCTGCACTGCTTCTCCTTTTTCAACCCGTAGGGTGTGCTAGAAGTCAGCACATGCTCCACCCTCTTTTGGTTTTTAAAGGTTTCCTACATTCCCTCTATTTATTAGATATTAAAAATCTCTCTATACAGCTATATTACCTCTCTTTTCAATAGTAACAGTAATACCTGTTTTTGCCCAAATACTGCTCCAATGTTTTCCTTTAAACTAGGACTTCCAGCAGTGGATACCACAGAGCTTTTTTTCCCTTGGCCAACTTGATTAGTGCAGTTAATCCGCACTCCTTTTGAAACAATACAGTATGCCTGCAATACCTGGACCATTTTTGCATATTCCTATTAAAGAAGAAAGAAAATTCACATTTATATGAAATGTCTCTTTTTAAAACAAAAATGTATACACAAAACATTCAATATTTGCAGGTAACGCAAAAAGGGGGGGGCATTTAATATTTTTTTTAAATCTTTACACACTAAATGAATAAAATACATATGCGAAAAATAGTGTCTTTAAAAACAAGCAGCATTTTACAAGATTGATATTTGGTCCCTGATTTTAAAATACACAAAAGTGATCATTATATCAATTCTTTACAAAATCTGAAAATTCGAGGATGTACCTTTAAAACCACTCATTGCAAAACAGAAGAGTAAAGCATACAGGAAGACTGTTGTTTTATTTGATGAAGATATAAGACAGGCATGAAATAGTCTGACATGATCGATGTATTATACAGAGAACTGAATATCATTCAGCAGTCAATAAATTCTGGGGTATGACACTCCTCTAAATTAATAATTTCTGATCTAACCTACCTTTTTAATGTTTCTTTGAAACTCCTTATGCCGCACCGGCAAAGTATAAAATAACTGCTGTATGTTAACAGTCGTTCCTTGTTGTCGTGGAAAAGGAGTTTTCTGAGTAATTTTGCCATTGTGATCAAATACCAAACGAGTCCCAACTTTTGCAGACTTATGACAGGTAAAAATGGTAACATCACTAATGGAAGGAAAGAGGCAACAGAATTACTCACTGAGCACTGTATTTTCTTACCCGTTCCTCACAACCTAATCAGGCACAGAAACTACAACACTATTCATTTAATTAAAACTAACTCTTCACCACAAACAACTAAAAACAGACCTGAAGAGTAGTGTAACATTTTCCTAGCTACAATGCAAACATTTTTGTTTGTATCCCTTTCATTCTTCTCCTGTAAAATGCTATGTTAATGTATGGTTTTGTTGGACACGACATTCCTCACACTAATGCATAACAGCAGAATAATCTTGATGCACAGAACTGTGCACAAAAGCTGTGCCATTTCAAATGTATAGTTTGTCTGGGAGGAGTTTAAATACAATTTTAATGAATTACAGCCTAGCAAACACAGCACTTCGATACTATAGTGCTTTACATCAGAGGATCAAATGCTTATGCAAGCACACAGTTCCATACTGCAAAGATTTGCATACTTAAGTAACACTGTATTTTGCACATAAAAGGACCAGTCACGGGCTTAGAATCATAGAATAATTTCAGATGCTTAGAATCATAGAATAATTTTGGCTGGCAAGGACTCAGGATGTCATGCAATGCAACCTATTGCTCAAAATTGACCTAACAGTAAGGAACTGGAAGTTTCCAAAGCCTCATTTTATCAGTAACGGTAAACTGAAAAGTTGGCTTCGGTTATTTTTGTGCATATAGTAACTTTATACTAATAAGAAGTTTAATATTAATACCTTAATGCACACAGTGAACTCAGAGCTTCACCTCGAAACCCAAATGTTTCAACATGTATTAGATCAGAAAAATCTTGTATCTTTGATGTATAATGTTTCAGAGCTGGAAAAAGATATTTAAAATATATATTTCACTTCAAAGTGACATTGGTCTATGCAAGTGGATTTTGCATGCATATCAAGAAGAAGTATTATTCATTGTATTTTACAAAATTATTAGAGACAAAATATTAAATACTTAATGTTTCCTTTCCCCTTTTCCTATAAGCAAGATCTCTTTAAAATCCTCAGATACACCTGTTATTCCATGCTTACACCCCAAATTCATACAACATTATTGGTATATGCATTACAAGGTGCCCCAGAGCCGTACACAGTACCTGCCTCTGCTACTGAGGTACCGTCACAGATTTTGCCCCGCAAGAAAACAACTGCAGTGCTGTGCTGTGCACAGTATACAGTGGACAGGCATAAGCCTATTCCACTATAACCACGGCTGAGGAGGACTCTCTCTACTCAGTCAGTGCAGCATTAGTCACCAGGTGACAAACTGACTTAGTAGCAGCACCCCTGAACTTTCCCTGTCCTGGAACAGTAGGAGAAAGAGTTTCTGATGTACCACATACATACTGTGAACACACAAAGTTACTGAGTAATAACTTCTGGTGAAAGAGGTCCCTAGTCATTATTATGAAAACAGAAACGTGGGTATTTCTGTTGCAATGGCTAGTTACATTTATCACACAGTATTGTTTCTGTTCCCATTTTGTGCAATTTAAAACTAGCAAATGGAAAATTTGACAGTCAGGCATGCAACGCCAGCTCATTTTCAGTAAATATTTAAGTTTATAATTTACCTCCCAAAAGCAGAGACCTTCACAAGGCTTGACTCCTTCAACAACAACTGATGACTCAACATGAATGAATCTAAATGAACATTTATAGGACTTTCTCTTGTATAATTATTTCTATTCTTTGTTCCACTTAAATAAGCAATCAAATCAAAGACTACTTACGAGCTACAAAAAGTACAACCACAACAGCACTACAAGAGGCTCAGTCGAGTTTTGCCCGTCTCGCACACATTATGTAAAAGCTGAGTATCCACTAAAAATTATTAAACTTAGGAAAAAAGCAGCTTTCTTGCTCAAAATATGCTTTAAAAATGTTCAAATATAAATTATGAAAAATGTTTAACTTACTCAACCCTTCAAAGTTTTCCTCTTCCACTCCAACTCCGTTATCTGAAACCTCTATCAGTTCTACTCCATGATCTTTAAGTTTTATATCTACAAGATTGAATGATAAAGTCTTTTAATTCTGTACGTTCATACACAGTATTCAGTATTAATTTTGTACTTGAAGCAACTTTACTAGGTAAGTTTTCCATGTCAAGTTTGAACAACAAAAAAATCCTCGTAACTGTCAAAAGTTAGGGCAATCGAATGCAAACCAGCCTGTATTTGCAGATAGTTCAGCTTCCTTGCACATTTGACTGAACAGAAGTTTTCCCAGTTGTAACAGCTCTCATCCTGGCAGCTCTGGAAACCACAACCCTGCCCTGACTGTCTGCTAGCCTGAGGCCACTGGTCAGCAGGGCCTAATCCCTACTGCTGTATAGGCCACGTACCTTTTTTAGCAGCAAAAAGGGCCACAAATAGAATAACAGACAAAATCACATGTTTCTAGGAGCCCAGCTAGAGCCTGGGAATCAAAATGCTTTATTTATTTGAGGTGTAAAAATCACTGCAAACCTGTTTGGCCCAAATAGGAAGTATTTGCACAGACCTGTTGATGTGCACCGTTTTGAGGAAAAAAGTACTTTATAAGTCTATGAAACTTTATGAAATTACGATGAAAAGAAGGTTACCAATGTTGGTAGCTCCAGCATCCAGGCTGTTCTCCACCAACTCTTTCACAGCAGTGCCAAGATTCAGTACAACCTGTCCCGAACAGATCCGATGAACGGACTTACGGTCGATGGGCTTGATGGCTTTGGCAGGCTGCAGGCTTGAAAGAGAGGGGGGACAGGAAGAAACATGGTAGTGCGAAGCAGGGGGCGAAGGCTCCCCTCGCCACGCCTCGCTCCTCCGTTCCTCCTAAGCGAGGGCAACCAGCAACCGGGGCGAGGCGGGGGGGTCAAACACCGATACGCCGGGCGGCCGCACCCAAACGCGGAGCGCTCACAGGCTTCCCCGAGCGAGCCGGGCGGCGAGGCGG